TTAGAACAGAGGGCACACCAAACTTAACAAAAGTACCACACGAAATGGTTAAAGACCTCAATAATAAAAGACACCCCGATTGTGTGCATGCGATACATCCTTGCATTGCCGACATTTGCAGATAGGCTAAAGGTGCTGCAGGCTAAGTCATACCTCAGAGTAACTGCAGACAAGGAACACCTTCTGTATGAAGCTTTGGCTGCAGGCAAGGGTCAAAGGCTGAAAAGGGAAAATTGTGGATGGATCAAGCAGAAGACACAAAACAGAAAAAGAGGACATATGTCATGGAGCGAAATGACACACTGTGTAGTGAGGCGATCTAACAGTGTATACATGGCTGCCGAAATATTTTTGGTTATAGTATCCGAAATATTTTTAAAAGGTATAAAGCACTCCAAAAGGTACAAACTTCATAATTTTTAATAAAAAATATGTTAAAAGTCTTCAAGCGCACACAAACACACACCCACACGCACACACATATATATATTTAGCTTACCTTGTATTTGATCAGAACTGACATTATACATTTACTGACAAACTATGAATATTTTCCTCTGTGAGCAACTCTAATGATACTTTTTTCATAAGCAGCTGATAACGTTTGCTATTTTTTCTCCTTAGGAGTATTATCTTTTTCATTATCATCATATTCTGAGTTAATATGTATATTTTTATACCAGACAACAGTCAGGAACAGTTATAAATAAAAGGTTGTAATAAAATGTCACAAACTACTTCGTAATAAAACTGATCAGAAAAGTTGTAGGCCAAATGGCACCAATTTTGAAATGCAAGTATGTGAATATGCACACTAAAAAAACCACTGTTCAACACAATACTTTTACACTATGCTATAAATTTCAAATATGGACACTGTCTTCAGAAGACAGAAGGAAAATAGTCACAACAGAAATTAAATGTTTACGTGTTTGCTAGGTGTAACGAAGAAAGATAGATTTAAGAATGATGATATGAGGAGGAGAGTCGGCACAGAACCAATACTGAACGTTGTAGGTAAACAACAAATCAAATGGTTTGGCCATGAAACAAGATTGGCTTTAGACAGGACACCGCAGAGAGTCATGTTATACAGATACAACGGTAACAGAACCAGATCGACCACATAGAATATGGACTGCAGAAAAATCAGCGACACTTAAAAGTATTTTATACGAATCAAACAGAAGGGCCCGTTCCAAAGATCTCTTCCTGCCCTGACACTGCAATGCATTCCAGGAGTAGAGAAAATAATAATAATAATAAGAAAGTTGAATTAAGAATCGACATCATAGCACTCGGGACACCCCCATAGGCGCTCCGTCCCCATCTTCAACAGCAAACGAATTCCAATTCCGGTGGTACCAGTAACTGTCTGATTGTATTTCCGTCTCGCCCTTCCCTCGAGAGAAGAAGAAGAAGAAAAGCTGAGGCATCAAATAAATTGGAATGCTAAACCGTTCCAACAAAAAAAACATGAAAGATCAATATCTGCCGTTGTCCGGATGGATATTCCTACACTAGCCTTTGAAACTGAACAAAAACGCACCTGACCAGTCTTGTCAGGTGATACATTTCTATCACGCCTATTGTGTTCAGTACTGACTGACTGACTTTCTACCCCACTAGGACATCACACAAGCAACAAACACCCGATGACACAAAGTGCCACCATGTGGATGAGGATCGTCGTGGAGAGGTCCCAGAAAACGCGTTCAGACAATTGGCCATATTATGGCCTGCCTATATTGCGGCCCCTGGCAAAAATCAGGGTGGTGTGTTCAGTAAACGCCCAATCATTTTTAAAGGTTGGTTCAACACAACGTCAGGATTTATAAAATTTGCATACCAAATTTATAAAACGTACCAAAATACGGGCGTGGGGGTAACACTGGTGCAAGACAGATTTTACGGGTCGCTGAGGGAATTACAACAGACAGTGATGTTCATACTAGAGATCAGTCACCATCATCATCAATTTTCTTTTTGCCTAGTGGCACATGAAGCTTCTAATAGGACTTTCCATGCTTTCCTGTCCTGTGCAATCTTCAGTGCAGTTTTCCATGTTAGAGATGCCGCACTCAGGTCACTTTCCATCGTTCGTCCCCATGTTGATTTTGGGCGCCCCTTCTGTCTCTTTCCCTCTGGTGTCTATGTGAGAGCTGTTTTGGCAGGTTTATCAGGATTCATTCTCATAACGTGGCCAAGCCATTTCCATCTTCTCTTGGTTATCATAATGCCTAGAGTTTCTTGGTTTGTGACTTGAAATAGTTTAATGTTTGAGATTGTATCTGGCTAGAAAATTTTGATAATTCTACGTAGACATGTTTGGTGGAAGGTGTATAGCTTGAGTGCATCCCTTTTGGTCATTCTCCAGCATTCTGCTCCATAAAGAAGAACTGGTAAAATAAGGCTCTTGTAGAGTCGAAGTTTCGTTCCTCTGCAGTAACTGTTTGATTTCCAGATTTGCCTCATCCTTCCAAAAGCAGCTCTAGCTTTGTTCAGGCGTGACTGTATGTCTTTCTCTGTCCCTCCCAATAGGGACACCACACTACAAAGTTATGTGAAATTTCCTACATTTTAAAGTGTTAGGTTATTTATGGTCACTGGTTATTGGTTTGGACTGTATGTATCTTAGTTTTCCTTGTATTTATTCTCAGTCCCACCATTTCTGCTGTGCTGTGTAGTCTGTTATTTTTTCTTGTATATGTTCATGTTTATGTAATAGGAGTACTATATCATCTGCAAAGTGAAGGTCCTCAAGCATGGTGAATGGAGTCCATCGTATGCCTCTCGACGTCTTGTCTACTGTGTTCTTTAGTATCCAATCAATCACAAGGTTGAAGAGGAGGGATGACTTAACACATCACTGTCTTACACCTGTCTTTACTGGGAAAGATGTGTGGTAATTTTTTGTGTATTTTTTTAAAGTCTAGAGATAACATTGCAGATATAGATAATATATTTCAAGCGAACGAAAAAAGGAGAAGAAAGGCGTGGTACGAAAAATACAGGTTTGCTCGACAAGGGTCAAGTGTATACGAAAGTACCAACTTCGGCAGCCTTGGGCGGCGGTATCCAAGAGCAGTTGAAATATGGCGTCCTCCAATGTGCAGTTCTACGAGAAACAGAAGGAGCTGCAAAACACAATAACTAACTGGTTAGACGTGCATTAATACCTCTGGTTTAGCTTAGTTAGCTTTTTATGCTTGCAAACAACTTAAAATAAGCCCAATCTACACCTAAAAATAGAGGTCATTTAGGTTTTTGCAGTGTCTTTCTGTGTTGTTTATGTTTACAAAACCCAAAGACTCACATGAAAGCGCACTGACGACCGACTGGAAAATGTAATAGGATAGGAATAAACTCACAGGGAGCAAGTACAGCAGGGATCTACCAGTCGTCAGTAGAAATTATCCTCGTCGACACGCGTTTCGGCCCACGATTCCTAGACGCTTTCGGAGGTGGGCCCACCTGAATTCATGAAGCTCAGGGCTGGTTCCCTGCTGCACGAAATTACCTGATGGTGTTTTTCTTTCGGATAGAGACAAGACGACTTGGTGGTTTGCAGAAGTTACTGTGAGAGACAAGCTTACGTTTGGTTTACCGGACACATGTTGGACTTTTATTAGCAGGTGGCAGAGGATCACTGGCAGACAATTCGGACACGATGGACTTTCAAGGGGTGAGAAACCCTTTTCCGCTAGACACCCAGACCAGCTCACCGAGGCCCGTCCCCTACGTTGTTGCGTTGCGTAATACTCAAGTCAGCCGTGAGAAAGTACAACGTGATGAAGGGGTGGGGGGCACAGAAGTCTTTATCTTGAACAGGTACTGAGTATTGAGATCTGTAACCAGTGTCAGAATACAGTGTAGTAAATTGTAAACCTCCGTTTGTTGAGCTTTCAAGTCATAATTTGTAGTTAGCGAATTTGGCTCTCCTGTAAACTACGGCCGGTAGACAACAATCTTCCCTTGGCTACAGTGCAGTTACGGAGTGGAGAAGGCACGAAAAAAAAAAAGTGATGTCGACATGCCTGGCAGAACCTGCGCTGCGACTCAAATTAGCGACTGCGTTCAATTACCGCGTCTCGCTACGCATTACGGAGTGAAGAGTGAACGTAACAAGTGACATAATTACTGTGTGTTGGCGATAGACAGCGTGCAGTGCCCTACTGTCATCATACGGTTAGGGTTTGGGTTAGGGTCAGGGGTAGGGTTTAGGTTAGGGTTAGGGTTTGGGGTAGGGTTAGGTTTAGGGTTGGGATTTGGGTTGCTACGTTGAGCTTCTGCGAAGACGAGATGCGGCGACACTAACCGTAACGCTAACCCAAATTCTAACAATCTATGCCTATGCTCCACTGGGAGATAAAGAGCAGATGAGGAAGAATAGACACACACATACTTATTCATTAATGGGTGATAGAAAGCTAAGAAGATGATGATGATGAAGTTGAAAAAAAAACAACTAACAATTTTCAGAAAGTTGAAAGTGAAGAATAGATGGCCATGGCCATTGGCCATTGAGTTAACCGTATGTGTCGATTCCTCCCCACCAAATATATGGTTGACACATTCCGTTTCTGGGGACAGCTTTTATCGAGTTTGCTCTCTAGACAGTTGCAGTCCCCTGCTGACGAGATTCTGTCTTCCTGAGTGGACCGCCGCGATCAAAACATTGCGAAGGCAGCGTGGCCGAGGCTGCCAAAACTATCGGTCATTATCCCGCCCCGACACAGCACAACCACAATACACGCTGTTCCCACAAAAAACACATAATATCCTGCGTTGGAAATGCGCATAAAATAACAGTCCATGTTTATGAAACAGAATAATCCGAGAGAATTCGAAGAATAGATGAAAATTGTTTCTTTAATGCTTGAGTCATGCTTGATTTTTTTTTTCTGTGTAAGTGCTACATGAAAATCATTTCCTGTTTTGAAACAAATATGTTTACTTATGCTACATATTTATTTTCTCATGGCAGTCAGCAAGAAAGAATGGATCTTGAGCAACAGTTGCAGAAGGCACTAAAAGCTGACCAAATATCGTATGAAGTATTTTCTTTGAATTTTTAACCAAATTGTTTCTTGAATCAATATTTTTATACCCTGTGTGGGTTCCGGGGCCCTATTATAGGGAAATCAAGAACAGACCCACTGACTACCCAAAAGCATGTAGTAAGAGTCGACTAATTCTGAGCTTTCTTCAAAGTCAGAGTGCATCTGCCTGAGAGGCAAGGAACCAGCAGTCTGCATACAAAAGAATCAGATCTGTAAAATGGATGCGCACGCAACACTCAGGTTCTGGAACAGGACTGCATTCCACAAGTGGATGAACACCCAGAAGTTTCCGCCAGAGTTCATAGCTGTTGAACTCGAAGAAGAAGAAAGAATATTTTTATTATTCGATTCCTAGTAAAGTTCCATTGCCCCCCAAACTCCCAATGATTTGGGAGAGAGCTTAATAAGTTCCAGTGGGCAAGGAGGTGACAGACAAGACGCTAGTGATGGACTGGACATATGTTGACAAAACCTGAGAACAGTATTAACTAGAATATCTTTGCACTGGAACCCACAGGGGCATAGAAATAAAGGCAGACCAATAGTACTTTTAGAAGGGAGCTAAAGAGTAAAGTTAAAAAGATCAGTATCATGCTTACGACCTTTATTTCCCAAGGATATTTTGTCTTACCAGTATTTTTTTCGTGAAGCCGCATTGAGCCCACCGCTGAACTAGTTAAAACAAAAAAAATATCTGGTCTCATCTGGGAAGTAAATCTGGACCGTTGTCTTTATAGGCAAGTGCAGTCACCATTTTACAATCACAGAATAAGAAAATCTAGGGTTCTGAACACTAATGTTACAGAAATATTCTTAGAAATCTGTCAGTCAAAAAAAAAAAAAAAAAAAAAAGAAAATTAACATTCTTTCAGATATTTTGTTCATATCTTCTCACTGGCTGTATACTCCAGCAGAAAGTTCTGGTTGTTCATCCACTCCTGGACTTTGATGTTGGTTCAGAACTTGAGTTTTGCATGTACATCCAAAGAAAATCGGTAATAAACCTGTGAAATTTCCAGGAAAAAATCCTTTAAAAAACAACATCTACAATGAGGCTTCAATTTAACACCTTAAAATATGGTAGAAATTACTGAAACAATGCCATTGTCTTGTTACTTGTCAGTAGTGTTATTAAGGATGTCAAGAGTGTTAAGCATGTTTCAACATTGAACAGACGAACATGTTGACATCACAATGACAGTTTAACTCTTTGAGGCCCAAGCAATGGTGTGAGCGTTGTTTGAGAAGTTCCGTTTTGCCCTAACAACGCTGCCATAGTCGATCGTGTGTCCCGTACATTTTGCTTCGCATACGGCTGTGTACTTGTTTCAAATGTTCGGAAGTACGATTAAACTATTCAGGGAAAAGTCACTCTGTCAAAATCCTTTTAGTTTCGTTCATAATCTAAGTCACATGTGTATAATTTGAACAGATTCGCAGCAATTTTTTTTTTCAACAGTGCATTTTCCTAAGTTTGTTTTTGAGTGCCATAAATACCAATGTTTCAACCACAAGTACAAGTCGCAGAATGCGCTTTTCTGCGGCCAAAGCTCTGAAATTGTTTCAGTCAGATGATTTTATTTAGGATAATGATAATGAAAATTTAGATTTTTCGATAAGTGATTCGGACGGTGAATTTTCATAAGCGAAGCTGAGCGATCAGCTGTTATGAATTTAGCGATTCTGATGGGTTTACACAGACAATGTTCCATTGCTACCGTATTTATTGTGTAAGAAAAGAAAAGTACTCCAAGCAAAGAAACAGTACTATACTATGGCTAAGCTACATTAAAATAATTGCAGCTACATTATGTATATAACTGTACAAAGTAAATAGTAAAATATATATAGTGTGTGTTATGGCCCATTTTTCTGCCATTTTGTCTCTGAAATTTTGCTCAGCACTCTGTGAGAACTAAGAGCCCTTGAGTACTAAACTAACCCAGCAACATATCATAACTTTAGAATTTGTTAGGAAATTGAATAAACTTTTAAGTTTTGTTCTCAAATTTGGATATTTACTACTCTTGTGGCTGCAAAACCATGGTAAGAGAAGAATTTGTTTGTAAAATGTTGTTGTTGTGAAATTAACACCTGCTGAATTCTTCTTCCCTGTTAACTATAATAAAATTATACTAATTCTTATCTTCAGATTCAAAATGTACATTCGTGTCTCTTAAAAAATATATACTTTTATTAGGATTAGAAGTATATTATATTCTCTATTGCCTGTCTTGTACACCACCCCCTTTGCCATTTTTGTAAGGGGAAATTAATGTGGGCCAAGTCTGTCAAAATTCATGGGCCTGAAAAAGTTAAAGATGGCTTTACCACTTTTGACATGCACCAGAGAGGAGAAGTTGATGAATTGAAAGTATAAAATGTTATTAAAAAATAAAAGTCTAGGTTTCACATATTCTCAGCTTAGCTGTCTGATGCCTGGTTTCTGTGTTGTGACACCAGGTCTCAAATGAAAGCATCCAGACTACACACATATTGGAGAAAAATCTGTGAAGATGAGAGGAGGGCGAAGCAGAGGAATGAGATGTTAATGAGAGACTTGGAGAGAATTGATAATCATATGGCTGAGCTGAATGCTAGAACCCAGAGCCTGGCTTTGATGAAGGTAATGTTAACTGTATTTATAGTCCAGCAGATATGTGTATCACTTGTTTGTGACCTTGTTATCTAGGCCAACAAGGAAGCAAGGAATACACAGTCCAGCAGATATGTGTATCACTTGTTTGTGACCTTGTTATCTAGGCCCACAAGGAAGCAAGGAATGCACAGTCCAGCAGATATGTGTATCATTGTGACCTTGAGCCCTGAATGCTAGAATGCACAGTCCAGCAGCCTGTGTATCACTTGTTGATGACCTTGTCTATGCCCACAAGGACTGGAATGCACAGTCCAGCAGATATGTGTATCACTTGTTTGTGACCTTGTTATCTAGGCCCACAAGGAAGCAAGGAATGCACAGTCCAGCAGATATGTGTATCACTTGTTTGTGACCTTGTTATCTAGGCCCACAAGGAATGCACAGTCCAGCAGATATGTGTATCACTTGTTTGTTACCTTGTTATCTAGGCCCACAAGGAAGCAAGGAATGCACAGTCCAGCAGTTAAAATAATGAATAAGATTTTATTATGGCCAAGACAAAAATCGTCATCTATGAAACAAAACATGTCATACAAACAGGAGCCATCCTTCTGTGATTTGACTAAATTGTAGCGCTTCCCTGTCAGAAGACAACAAGGAAGCCACCATTTTGTATATTTAGTAAGAGTTTCTTGTTTATGATGCAGTAAAGAGTGAATATTAAATTCTGTTTAGTATTTGAAAAAGTGATATTGAGACCGTTGAATTATTGAGACAAGTTTATGGGGGTTAATGTTTATCTCGTGGACAGATATTCAGGTAATGTTCACGATTAAGGATGAATCTAGGCAAAGGCGTGCAATATCTGTTTTTGACCATGAACTCAGTGCCAAAGTCAGAGAATGGGTACAATGGAAATTTGGTTTTGAAGGTGAGGGCAGATGAATTTTATATTGATAACCGGGAAGGGTAAACCAGTCAGCTAATGCCTGCAGAAGTCGGATGTGTTGGGTTCAAATATCGCAGCCATGCTGTAAACGGGCACAATACAGTTTCAACTTCAGATGAACGCAGAAGAAGAAGAATTAAACATTGATCCTCATTAACTTGTCTCATCAATTTAATTATCAAGAGTAAAGTCCAACAATGGACAAACAACCAGAACTTTCCATCAAGGTTTATATATATTGAACGCTAAGAATAAAAAAAATTCAACTGTTTCAAGAACTTTTTAGGAGTTTAAAACAGATTTTAATGTTCACTGTTTAAAAGATGCTGTAAATGTAACTTCTCAACTTTCACTAGCTAAGCAAAATGGCTGGTTGCTTGTTGTCTGTTGATCGAGAAGCCTTACAATTTGGCCAAATCATTGATAAATGGTGACTGTTTGGATGTCCTGCTTTACTTCAAGGATCGCATCTGTCTCATTATTTAAGTACCAGACTGTGTACTAACCTACCACACATGCCATAAGAGGCAACTAGGTAAGGTTGGTGTATGACTGGTACCTTATCCCATGGAAAACTTGCTCCAAAATTTAAATCACTAATTAACAAAACTGCAAGGCGCTTGGCATAAGTTGATCAAGGGTTTTTTGCAGACAAGGATCTCTACTCCTTTAGAAAATCAGAGGGAGGAGATGACATGTTATATTGTTAGTACGATTTCTTATATATTGCTACATGTATTTGCTCCTTTTAGCCCTTGAGTAGCAAACTCATTATTTAAGATCCATGAAACAAAAGCAAGTTCCACTGTCTTGCACAGATAAAACACCAAGTTTTTGCAGTGTGGCTTAAGAATTGGGGCCTCTTCTTCTTTGTTGCTTTTTAAATGGTAGTGCATTGCATCTTGCAGTGCTATCTTTTTATGATAGAATTACTCATGTCAAGCTTTGGGAGAGAACTAAACAAATTCCAGTGAATCAAGAGGTGAAGAAAAGATGCTGATGTTGGAGAGGACACACATTGAGAAAATCTGAGAACAGTTTGACTAGATTGTCTTGGCACTGGAACCCACAGGGACATATAAATAAAGGCAGACCAAAAAAAAAAAAAACATTGAGAAGGGAGTTGAAGAGTGAAGTTAAAAAGATGGTAATGACATGGGGTGAGCTGCCTGCAATAGCAAAGGATAGGATGACTTGACCTGAGTTGATTGAGGACCTGTGCTCCACTGGGGGGATAAAGGGCAGAAGAAGAAGAATAAGAATTTATCTCTTTAGCTCTTATGATAATGTGTTCAAATTCAGCTTGCATTTGTGTAAAGTTTACTTCTTTCAGGCAGATTCTTTGGAAGGTTCAGGCAGAAGAAGAAGAAGAATTCATCTCTTTAGCTCTGAGGCCAATATTTTCGAATTCAGCTTGCATTTGTGTAAAGTTTACTTCTTTTAGGTAGATTCCTTGGAAGGTTCTGTCTACCTGTGGATAAGACTTGTGCGTGTGAGTCAGTATTATGATGTGATTTGTCTCTTTTAGAAGCAGTATGAAGAGTACATCTCTAAAACATACCCAAAATGGAATGAGTTTATGAATAGTTCGCCTCAACCTTCAGAATCTGCGACAGATCCTCATCCTCATGATGCTTCAGCAGCTGCTTCCCTCCATCATCAGGTGCAGACAATTGATGTTAGTTGTTTATTACAGGCATTTTTTAGATTATTATTGTTTACCATGAAACTAAAGTGGAACCTCAGTTCTCCTATGCCTCCCTTCTGGAACTTTTCACTTTCTGAATAAGGGTGGGGGGGGGGGGGGGGGGGGGGGGGGGGGGGGAATATCTTGGTTTCTGAAAAAACATTGCTTCCTAAACAGCCTTTCTGAAATCACCACTTCTCAGAATGAGATGGTGGCAAGAGGGGAACTTTCATTCAGAGCATTCCTGCCTAAATGTGCTGTGATTTTTCATGATTTTCTTTGACAGCGCTCCTAATTCTTCTTTCCTCTACTCTTGGTTTGCCCTGCAGGGTCAGGGCAAGGAGAGAACTCTGAAACTGGCCTTACTGTCGGTTCTGTGCAGTACTTTTCAGTGTCGCCTATATTTTAGTGGTCCAACTTCTGTATGGCCAACCTCTAGCTCGGTATCTGTATAGCACCGTGGTGCCCTGTCTGTTGCCAATCTCGTTACATGGCCATATCATTTCCTTTAAAGTTGGAGTTCATTTGCCTGGAAGGCAATTAATTAATAATCTGCATGTAGAAAAACAAGATATGTAAAATAGACATGCATGCAAAACTCAGGTTCTGTATTAAGACCAAAGTCCAAAAGTGGACGAACAACCAGAACTTTCCTCTAGAGTTTTCAGCCGGTGAACACAAAAAAGAAACTGAGTAAAGAGGACTTGCTTGCTGGTGTGACCACGGTAGGCCCAGGAAAAGCAGTGGTCCGAGCCAACGTTTACAGTGGAGCCAGGATGAAGAGGTGGTTCAGGAGACGACGGTGAATCGCCAACCTTGACAAGACTACAAAAACAGGTTCAAGAAAGAAAAAAACTGTTGCCAGACATAAATCTATTATATAGGTAGCCAAAGAAGAATAGTAAACTAGTGCAGAACTGGTGTTATCAGTGGCCACATGTTGTACACTGTAGATTCACCCCCTATGTAGACTATGGGTGTACAGGAGCACTTATTTATGTTAGTCCATATTATATGTATGTTTACCCACTGATACTCCTCAGTATCTGTAACTAACCAAGTATTTAGGCCTAGGGTGCCTACTCTAATATTCCGCTGGATCTCTCCTTGATGGATGTGCTACAGTCCTGTATACTATAATAACTGGCACACTTGGCACAGCACCAGCTAATACAGTTGTTACTATCTTGACGAGTCAACAGTAATGCTTGTGAGAGGCCACATAAACTTTAATGTAATTCACAGTATACGGCACAAGATGATAATGATTATTCATTAACATATGTACGATAATAAATCTCTGTTATCTACACAGACGATATAAAAGATTACAATCTTTTCTCAGTGGAATCCTGCCATTATAAACTAAACAGATATTAAACTGTCTCCCGCAAACAACGGCAAATCCAAACCTCACACAGAGAAAACTTTTCTATAAAACCTCATACAGAGAGCCAACACAATGTTTCCGCTAACCCGCGGAAAAACCAAGTCTGACTCAGACAAAGGAAAAATCTTAACTGCTTGAGCCTTTGTCTTCTATCCCCAGAATTAAATTAGGTCGTATAATTACCTTCGCCTAGGTAACGACTCATGGCCGCCACATGACCTTTACCTGTGTTCTTCTTGCTAGATGAAACTTCAACTCTTGGCCAATTAAGATTACAACACCACATGCTGAGGGAGATACTAAAGATTGGATCCAAGTGCTTATAGATTTGTCTGATTTGCAGTGAGGATGGTTGACCATTTGACTAACTAGCTTATTCTTCAGTCTCTCATTTATCTTCCTCTTTTTCACTTTTCATTAATCTTTTTAGTTGTCACAACAATTTTGTTTGTCTCATAATGTGGCTAAAATATGCCAACTGCCTCTTTCTGGTGTTTGAGGGCAGGATTTTTTGTTGCATAGCTCCCATTGAAATATTTATGTTTCTTATTTTGGCTGTTTAAAGACATAAAACCACACATATGAAGCTAGAAAGGATACTTTGACTTCTTTACTTATTGTCCAGGATTCACTGTCAAATGTTAAAACTAGTTCTGTGTAACATGCACAAATTTATTTCTAACCTCTCTAGACAAGATTTTTTTTTCATCATCATTATGTAATGGGTCCTTTACTCCATTCACAGCCCACCAGAAAACAAAAAGGTCCCTCACGAGTTCTCCTGCCTCATGTACTTTCCGACCCGTGGTGTCTTTTACATCTTATAACTGTAGCTTGCATTCCCACCATTGCAGCTATGAGCCTCATATTGGTAGACAACATAATCATATAAATACGAGCCTGCACACAAGACTAAGTGTCTACAGTTGACAAGCATGACACCAGTGTGTTTGGGAAAAAGCATGGATAGAGCAGATTTTATCAATACTGTATGGACTAGGCTCTGGATAATGATGAATCTTTGACACTAACATGATTGTGTGACCTGGGAGTAAAGCATTGTCAAGCGCATCTGTGCCAAGATAGGAGACATTATAACCAACTCCTTATGGGAATAATCAGTAGACCTTGCAGTGGCTGCTGCATTGGAGGACTGAGCACGCAGTTAATATGTCTACAATGGACATAACTGTATGTATTTATAAGTGATACACGGCATATATACCCACTCCCATGCCGGTCAGCCACTGCCTCTCTTACTGCATACCATGCGCTCCATTACTATTCTTTCCAAGCCATTGCCATCTTTGATATGACCAGTTTTTCAGGTTCCAAGATAATATGCTGTTTATGAGCCAGTTTTCCTCAATACTTAAATATTGGAGAATGTCCATATTTCTTTTCTTTTTGGTCCACGGTATTCAGCATTCAGTAATCTGTTACTCCGAATTCTGAAAATGGTCCAGAAGAAACTAGAAGATTAGGGAGATGACAGCTGCAGTCATATGTTCCATGGAGAAACTGTGAATATATGCTAGCAGTGGTAAATCATTTCTAAACTTAATGTTTACTTATTTCCAGGGGTCACAGCCAGATGCAGGAAGAATTAGCAGCCAATCCCATTCCTTTGCTCAAGCAAGTGGCGATATGAAATATAAAACTAGTGCTACTGAAGCTTTTGAAAAAGCACTCACTCATCAGCCTGAGAAAGATCAGCAAAATCAACAGCAGCAGAACCTCCAGCAACACCAGTGGAAGAAGCAACAAACCATCCAGAGAAGGGGAACCATACGTAAGATTGTTGTGTTTAGTTTTCAGTGGTAATATTTCTGCCGTTACTGACAGTCACATTGAAACTGTGTTCTTTCATCTTCTTTTTGTTCTCAGCTGTATGTCATTTTCATCTTCTTCTTATGCCCTTTAAACCCTCAATGGAGCAGAGCTCCCCAGCCAACTCATCTCAAGTCATCTTATCTTTTGCTGTCACATGCAGCTCACAACCTGCTCCACACACACACACACACCCCCCCCCCCCCCCCCATCTTTTAAATTTTATAGTTCCCTTCTGCATGTGTTTTTTGGTCTACCTCTATTCCATTGGCCCTGTGGGTTCCATGCGGAAACATACTATTTATATTGTTATAAGTTTTTCTCAACTAGTGTTTTATCCAACATATGTAGTTTGTGTGTGTGTGTGTACAGGCTTCTCTAGAGTTAGACATGTAGGGTTTTTTCAAACAGCCACTGAATAGACTTTACCGAGCTGAATGTTGGTCCATTTTTTTAACAAGCTGTCTACAGTTTGAAAAGCTTGCATCTAAGCACATATTGCTATAAGACCTAGATTTTACAATTTGTAGATGTGACTCTGTTGAGTCTGTTATGATCTGAGATGAATTTAAAAAACAGTGTCTTGTTCAGATGAATCATCACTACTATTATGGCACGCCTGAAAGGCACTTGGTCCCTTGCCCGATCTCCTGCCTCATGAACTTTTACACCCAGGGTTTCTTTGAGATCCTGCTGGTCGATTCCTGCCTTTTCTGTCTGGAAGTTTGCCCTTTATTTTTTTTTGGGGTAGCCACCATGGTAAAGCAGCAGATGCTTGCCTGCGGATCCAAAAGTTATGTTTCAAGTCACCATTGAGTCAGATTTTTTTTTAATGACCTCGGCTTCCAGGTCGACCAGCGTGAAATTGATACCATGTTTTATTCAGTTTACCGAATGATATATGTTATTCTTGATTCAGTTGAATGGATGATATTATGTTATTTGTTATTCAGTTGAATGGTTGATATTATGTTATTCAGTTGAATGGATGATATTATGTTATTTGTTATTCAGTTGAATGGATGATATTATGTTATTTGTTATTAAGTTGAATGGATGATATTATGTTATTTGTTATTCAGTTGAATGGATCATATTATGTTATTTGTTATTCAGTTGAATGGATCATATTATGTTATTTGTTATTCAGTTGAATGGATCATATTATGTTTTTTGTTATTCAGTTGAATGGATCATATTATATGTTTTTATATTTTCAGTTAAAGAGATGATATTATGCTATTCTTGATTAAATTGAAGGAGTGATATTATATGTTATTCTTGATTCAGTTGAATTAATGTTAATATTGGTTACCTTTTACTGGGTTGAATAATATTTTGTACTTCACCCAGCTGTAATGATTGCTGATGTTTGTTTCCTTTCATGGACGGGTAGTGCAAACCCATCAGGTTGCTGACCACATGCAGGAGACAGAAACAAATGTAGGAGTCTATGCCAACTTGCCTGCTAGCCAACCTGATCACCACACTGCACACAAATCACAAGCTTCAAATAATGTTCAGATAAAAAGTCACGAAGCATCAACCATTCAGTCTCATAATGCAGAGAAACCTGCACAGCCCAGAAGTGGTAAGATGAAAATAGTTGGCTGTACAAACATGCTGTATAATTTGTTTCCTTCTAGAACTCTTTTTATTAAAATTGTTGGTGCTTTCTTTTTAGCCAACCGAAAATGACATCACAGGACAGTCCAGTATTTTAGAGTGTGGTTAGAGCGGTTTTTCCGGGTTTTCTGTACTTTAGCACGTTTCTTCCAAGGCCAAGGTTTTCGCGCATTTACCTAACCCTAATCCTAACCCTAATCCTAACCCTAATCCTAACCCTAATCCTAACCCTAATCCTAACCCTAATCCTAACCCTAATCCTAACCCTAATCCTAACCCTAATCCTAACCCTAATCCTAACCCTAATCCTAACCCTAATCCTAACCCTAATTGTATGCTTAACTTACCACCCCTTGAAATATTTGACTGTCCCATGACCTGTGGATTTCCCCTGTTTGTGATCGACTAATAAGGAAAGTACCTAAACAAAATTTTTAAAGGACCATTGTCTTGTTGTCACACTATTGGTACAATGGGGTAAATCCATATTTGTATAGACCAGTCGACACTTGACTCGCTTAACACTTATTTGTTGTTTTACATCAGGTGAATATCTGCACATGGCTGTAATTTTTGCTTAGGTAGTTAAAGTTAAAGTAGTGACTGTAGTTTCAACTTCACTGCAGACATCTATTACCCCAGACATGCTCCACTCCTTTGTCAGTAAAAATCAAATGAAATCTTCCTCACTGTCCCTTTTAAAAATTTGGTGAATAACCAGTTAGTCCCGGCACAGTCCAGAAATATGCGCATGCATTAAATGCATAAAGCAGTTACTAGAGGTACCAAAGCCAACAGTCACCACCAGAAATGCAGTTTGTCGTTGATAGAAGTAGTCAGTCACGATAAGTTGGCCATACACACGTAAAATTATGAATAAGGTATTTACCATCAGACATGTAAACCGGCTATCCGCCATTTTGAATACCACAACACAACCGCTGCACAATTGAAAGGCATTCCACATGAAGAACACAGCTCACAGTGCTGTACCAGCATTGAACTCAGTAGCTTAGCTAGCAAAACCGTAGACCTTTTGCCCAAATATAGCAAAACACTGTCAGGAGCACACAAAAAACCCAGACGAAGATCTGAGGTGCACCGTCCTGTTAATGACCCAAACTGGAATAGATGTACAGTAGACATTGATCATTGAAAAAGAAGTGTATGTCTAATATGTTCATGTCCTGCTTGCATGTATCCTTGAATTGTACCTGTAAATGTGAAGTCTCTGGTACTGATTTTGTTGGGAACAAATCTGTATAAAAGTGCCAGGAAAGTGTGAGGGTGAAAGAGGAAGAAGAAGATTTGTATTGAAAATGTGAAGGTCGATTTTTTAAAATTGATAATTATTTGCGTTGCCCTTTTTTGAAATGAAATGTTTTTTTGTCTTTGCAGAATTCATCATTGTGAAATGTTGAATGTAAACGAGGAAGAAGCGAATAACTAATTTTATTCAATATATAAAGTCATTTTGTTTTTGTTTACCATACGCCCAGAGGAGTGGCTGGTTGAAGTGGTTAAGGACATTGGGAGACCCATTTTTGATTCCTCTGTAAAGATAATAGATTTTGTTTGTTGGGGGCAGAAATAACATCCCAACCTGCACAGTCCATGGCGATGACACTAACGATGCAACCTTAAATCTTAAGGCTCAGCCCCTCTTCCCATACACACCCCCCCCCCCCTTTTCCCAACCATTAATATAGCAGTCAAGACAGAAATATCACATGTTCTGTATTTAACCTGCGTTTATTTTTATTTTTTAGTGATCTATCCTAGAGGAGGTCAAACAGAGGACGATGAGGAGATCAGTGACTTTGGGAGTGAGAGTGATCTTCCCATGGCCCAGTCCTTGGGAAACACCAAAATCCCAGTGACTTCTCCGCCAGATTTGGGGACAGGGAAGTCCGTGTCTCAGACTAATGGGTATGTGTTATTGCTGCATATAAAGAGATCCATACTACATTAAAGACAAGGTTTGTCAAAATTACATTCAACTTCCCAGTGTGGGTTCCAGGGTCTGCTTCTTTGAGGGGAAAAAAGAATAACCTACTGCTCCTTAACAAGTATGTCATTTAAAGATTAATTCAGGATTTGCTGAAACCAGATGTGTGGGAGCTACAGGTGCAGATATCACAGGCTAGCTGTAAACCACCTCATAACATGACAACTGCCCTGTGCAAACACAGATGGAGAAGAGAATGTAGTCAACGAGGCCTCGGAGATGTGGAATATACTGCATTTTATTCAAACAATAACAGTTGCCTACAGATGTCTACAGAGACTGGAAATAAAAAGAACACTGACAAAGGAAATACAAAATGCATACCGGCATAAATTTTCCTTTATTGTCTTGTACTATTATGTGCCACGTAGAGCTTGTAGTCCTTTGTTCCATTCCATTCTATCATGTGCAAGCACTTTCTTCTTCTTCTTCTTCTTCTTCTTCTTCACTTCCTCTTTTACCGCTGTGGGTGTCGAGGGAGATATAAGGTTCTGTTTGCAAGCACTTTGGTATCGTATAAAAGTAAGGGTAAAGGTAAAGTCGGGAGATGTGAACCAGCGACATTGCACACGGTTATAAACCATAAGTGCTCTGCCACCAGTACGGACAGCTGATAAGAATTGTCCGCCTGTGTCGCCGTCCGCACGTAACTCTGTAGCTACAGCGACGTTCCTCTATTTACCCCAGAGTGTCAACTCTGGTACCCATTTCCTAGAGGCTGGGTGAACCCTGGGAGCCACCCAGTTCCAAACACCAACCGTGGGTTCCAGTGAGTCGCAGCTGGATTTGAAAATGAGCCTCTTATCGACTGCGCTAACGGGGCCCCTTGGTATCGTATATGGAATCCAGTCCAGCACATTGGGCTTTAGCATTCACTTCTTCTTCTCTCGTTTACCTGAAATTAGTTGTCTGTATCAGCAATTTTGTCTCTCGTAAAAATTTCACTGTCGTTTTTAGCTCATTCAGTTTTTTCCCATGTGAATTCCGCGGCCTCATCGTGGGGAAAACAAGAATAGACCCACTACCTGACCAAAAGCATGTCATAAGATTCGACTAATTGGAAGCTTTATTTGAAGTTGTAGTACATTCGCCTGAGAGGCGAGGAACCAACAGTCTGCTGCATGCAAATGAGTCAGACCTCTGAAACGAATGTACACGCAACACTGAGTTTCTGGAACAGGACTAGAGTCCAGAAGTGGACGAAAAACCAGAAGTTTCCGCTGGAGTTTAAAGCCAGTGAACGCGCAGAAGAAGAAGAAGTTCATTCAGTGGTCTATAGAGTTTACGTTCCACTGTTGTTCTTTCTGGGCAAAATGTTTGCTTTCATGTGTCAAATATGGTGCAGTCCTGGAGTACATGCTCTGCTGTCTGGGGCACCTTTCCACAGGTGCACATGCCTGATGTGCCAATCAATCAGCATTCACTTTAGGGTTTTCTTGGATGTCTTCATTGACTCAATCCCTCTATTTCCCATTTCAGTGCATGTTTGGTTATTCTCTGTTCTTCTTTTCTCAGAAAATGTTCAGTCAAACGCCACCTTCTCTGTCTTATACAAGTGTTGCCAATACATTTCTCCTAGCCGGCATAAAATTGAGCAATGAATGCCATGCCTGGCCGATATTTAGATAAAGCAGGAAAAACCCTAAAAATAATCCAGGCAGAGAGACAACAAATAAGACTGCTGAAAACAGCACTCAGTACATTACCTCCCCGTGTGGGTTCCGAGGCCCTATTATAAGAACAACAAGAATAGACCCATTGCCTATCCAAAAGCATGTCGTAAGAGTCGACTAATTGGCAGCTTCCTTTGAAGTTGGAGTGCATCTGTCTGAGAGGCAAGGAACCAGCAGTCTGCATACAAATTAGTCAGATCTGTCAAACGGATAAACATGCAACACTCAGGTTTTGGAACAGGACTGCAGTCCAGAGGTGGATGAACAACCAGAACTTTACGCTGGAGTTTACAGCCAGCGAACACGAAGAAGAAGAAGAAGTACATTACCTTAAGTGCTCCATCTCCATCTTAAGCAGCCAGCCAAGAAACTGCTGAAGACTCTAGAAGCCTAACTCAGCTAAGAAATGCCAGGTCTAAGTCACTTGTGGCCACAGTTCTCAAATACCTCTGCTCTGCTGTAAACAGGTACAACAGTTACCTCCAGCGCCAGCATTGGTTGTGGTACAGAACCTTTACATCCTGTTTTCTTTTTCTTCTTCTTTGCGTTCACCAGCAAACTCTGGTGGAAAGTTCTAGTTGTTCATCCACTTTTGAAGTACAGTCCTGTTCCAGAACCTGAGTGTTACGTGTGCATCATTTTTAAAGATCTGACTCATTTGTATGCAGACTGTTGGTTCCTTGTCTCCCAAGCAGATGCACTCTGACTTTGAAGGAAGCTCCCAATTAGTCGACTCTTTCAACATGCTTTTGGGTAGGCAGTGGTTCTATTCTTTTTTTGCCCCATATAATAGGGCCCCGGAACCCACACAGGGAATCCCAGTTTCATTTTAAAACAAAAGTATTAACTGTTTTTGTTGCTGCAGATCTGCACAGCCAGAACTGTCAGTGGATGGACTGATGAATCTTCTGCAGCTGGTCGAGTCAGATATGGTGGAAGCTTTTTCATGTGACGACTTCTACAGGAGGTCAGCATTGCCTCTAGTGACTGAGAAGAATGACATCATCAGGTAATAGAGCAGGTTTGGTTTAGCTGTGTATTCAAATAATAATTGTCTGCCGTCTCCGCGGAGAAGGTGGCTACAGTACCAACAGTAGTTTTGGGGCATATTGTCTAGTGACGCCCTATCTCTTCCACTGTGCAACTCTCTATTACTGTCTGGAAACCAGGAGTAGAATTTAGAAATTTAAAAAACTTTCTATTATATGTTTTCTGCTTTGTGTCACTAGATGTCACACGTGAATAGATGATTGGTTTCCAAGCTAGGGCAGGCTTGGTAGTTCAGTATGCTGTGATGTTGTGGAGTCTCAAAGTTTCAGTGGCTTTTTTGTTCCATATTTTCTTTGTCATTACCTACCTATTGGTATTTTGTTTCTACTTTCCTGTTGTACGCTGTTTAAAAAAAAAAAAAGATTTCTCAAAAGAAGTAAGAGATGGTAATATGTGTCTGAAAATAATATAGGTTTGTCTGATTTGAACATAGGTGTGTCTGATATGAACATAAGTGTGTCTAAGATGAATATAAGTGTGTCTGATATGAAATAAGTGTGAAGCTTGGCCACAGTGTATCAACCTTAGTCTTCTTCCTCCACTAACGATGGCAGACATGGCTAATCTGTCAGCTCTTTCACCCCGTGTGTACAGCCAAAGTAGTTTCTTGAGGCAAGACTTCTGGAGACTCTCAACCTATTGTAGTCAGAGTTTCCAAATTAGATCTTCTTAAGTGTGTTCATTGAGTCTGTCGCCATCAGTGTGTGAGTTGCCTTCTGTTCTACCAGCCATTAAAGTGCTTCAGTGACAGCTGTTATCTTCATCGTCATGCTAGAATGAACTGAATGCTTGGCTTTCTGCACACCACAAATCACTGAGCCATCTGTGAAGAAAATGACCCACCTGGTCGAGTGTGCTTGTGGATGAGGGCCCTTATTTCAATATGAGTGGATGTGTTGGCTCTACATTCTCTATAATACCTGCCTATGGTGACTATTACCTCAGTGTGCTCATGCAGTTTTTCTGGTGTTTCTGAAGATTCAGCACCGTGCCTGAATGTTCCAGTGGGCAAACTCTGATACTGTGTCCCCTGCATGCAGGTCTGCCTCCTCTATAGGTGCTTATTTTTGTTTACCTTTAGGTGGCTGTGTAGGCAGTATTTTTTGTCAGCAGCAACACAAAGGTACACATTCGCCCCGGCCATCATATGTCTGGTGACCATGTCTGGATATATCACATGGTGTGACATGAGGTGTCTCTTGTGCACCCAAGAAAGGGTGTCATAGCATCATTTTGCTCTGTCTCTAGTCTTTCCAACTGATGTCTGCTTACTCTAAGAAAGCCAAGCCCATTGTCAGTCACTGGGTGCACAAACTACGATAAAGCATAAGCAGCCATCTTTGTTTCAACTTAGCAAATTTGTGAGAAAGGGTAGAAACATGAGCTTTATGTTAGGGTGTGAATAATGTCAACTGAACACCTGATATGTATGTTTATGTTAGGAAGAGATATATAATCTGAGAAAACCAGACTCAGAGATTCTGTTGTGAGTGTCCTTGAATAGCACAGTTAGTTGTGAATAGCTAGACTAGAACAGGCTGAATGGAGCTGCAAATAGCAGTTTTAATCCTATGTCTCCTTAAAGCACAAGATAGCATTATTGTCTGGAAAGAAGGAAAGGTGCCAACAACATCTTAAAAGGGCTGGAAGATGAGCAAACAGTTGTGGCTGCATGGCTGAATCCAAATGTTGACCTTCTCTTTTGTTTTACTTTTAACTGTTTTTTGTTTGTTCTGAACCTCAGGAAAGCTAACAACGATGGTGACTTGAGCAAGGTTGACCCAAGCTTGATCACGATGGTAGTCTTAGAACAGATCACTCACATCGTGCAGACTTTGACAGAGAAATGCTTGTTGCCTGAGGAACTTCTCCAGGATACGTCCGGTCTGTCAGCGACCATGCTGAGGTATTTGTTTTGGATGTCAAAAATGTTACATGGCATAGAACAAATTTGATATTTTTAAGGGAATTAAATTGTGAGTTCATTTTCACAAATTTTTCGTCGATTGCTACATTATTTCCTGAAAAGATATCAAGCTGAAATTTTGCATAGATACATTTTGGATGACATGCAATGTGATATAAAAAACATTCCCAAATTTGTGTTTTAAAATTGGTAATTTATGGTTTCAAAATTACAGTATGTTTAATTATTAGAATATATTGTCAAGGTAATTAATTCATGAATTCACCATCAAGACTTTGCCATCGTACCAATACTGTGACCAAGTGGATAAGGCATTGGACTTATGATCCAGCGGAATTATTTCTGCCTGGGTTTAAACCCCAACCTTACTAATCTTAATTTTGTTGCCTAAAATCTGTCCCTGCCTGATCCAGATTTCAGGTTGCTTCATGTACGTCGCAGGCCCCAGTATAATCTTACAGTTGAACAAGGTTTACTTGGATTTGCACATGTGGGATTCTTATCCTTGAGACGTTAGACCTGTGAACTGCAGTCCTGGATGGGACAAACTACAGCAGGGCCATTCAACTGAATTGACTCAGGGGCCTCAATGTTGGAAACAGTGGCCTGTTCCCCAGTATAGAAAGATCATTAGTACGATACAGTTGGCAGGGGATCCACAGGCTACTTGCTTGGCCAGATGTGGCCCGTGGGTTGTCAGTTAAATAGCCCTGAACTACAGCATTACAACCATCGTTTAAAAAAAAATACTACAAACAAATTATAATTAGTCAAACATCCCATCCAGTCTATATTTCATGTTTCTGCACAACTGCTAGGATCCCCAATATAACTAGCTGTGTTATACGGTTGAATAAGGTTTTGGGGGGATTTGTAGCTGTTTGATTTTCTGATTCTGGAAGTGGTATCCTACAGTCTGCAACCCTGAAGAGAACAGACCAGGGGAAAAGCACATCACTCAGACATAAGAATTATCAAAGGTTACTTTGGTAATATGTGAGCACTCAGATTGTCTGTCATGGAAGTCACTCTTCAGGAGAAAAAAACTAATTTATATTGTTTTTGACTTGTATGAAAATGCTTCACTTTGTTTTTCACACGCATTTTTTCTGTGAACTGCAGACAACATCTGTCGCCAGAAGCCCAGATAATCTGGGATGCACTGTATGCTCATTTCATCAAGCTGGTTCAGTATGACGTCTTAAAGCCACAGGAAGTTGCCAGTATTTTCATCCTTGCCTAGTGCCTCGAGGTGGCATGTGTGATAAGGTTTGTGTGCATCCCAAGTTACCTTCACTATCTTACCAATTATGGTTTGGGTAAGAAATCATAAACAGCTAAAAATGCTTCATTTATGCACCAAACAGGTATCTGCCAGGAGTTGGATTGTGGGAGGGGGGGAGTTGAGAAATGTATCTAAACTGGCCCTTCCAGTTTACAGGCCTAATATGTTAAACTTCTTATGGTGTCAGTGTTGCATGCTGCAGAATCATTTTAGGGTGACACATTCAATGTTTTTGTTTTTGACACCTACAAACATACCGAAAGTAAAAGTTCAAGACCAGCATGCTAGAGATTAACAATGATAGAAGTGACAAGAAATTGATAAGAAATGGACAAACAGTAATCTGACAGAGTATAGAGCCAGGTGAGAGTGTTGGAGATCCCTTGCCACCCACCTTCATTGTGGAAATGGCGCCTGATCTATTATTATTGATCACCTTTTTTATTAAATGCCATTCATTCTTGGTAACTGCAGTGTTTTTCCTGTCTGCTGTCAAGTTTTAATTGGGATTCCGCCCATCAAATGCCAAGAGAATCAAAACATTGAACACATAAATAAGAGGATGACTCAGTGTTGAGCAGAGTACTGACATCACAGTGCTCAGGACATTTCCAAAAGTGATCTATCCTCATCTTCAGCAGCCAGTAAAAAGTTATTATTCTGATGGTGCCAGTAGGTTTGATTATATGTCCAGCTTGATTTTTCTCTGAGTGTAGACCAGATGACTTGGTCACTCACAGCTGTACTATATTCTCCAGACCATATTGCATTGTTCATTTACTCCCAAAGGACCTTGACCATATCTAGCTTAGTATGCATAAATTCACCACCCTTTGGTGCAGAACCAGCCAATCTGTCTGTCTGTTCATTTCCTAACACTCCTGCTTATCCTGGAGAAAATAAACCAAAGAACACTTACTGTCTGGGATCTCTTGAGCGATAGTGGCCATACTGCATGGAGCATGCCTGTTTCCACCTTTCTTAACATGCTTTGTGATGACTCAGTGTCCACGTTTATCATCTGTGTTGTCCTTAGTCAGCCTCTCTTGTGTATGTTGTTTCAAATCTATATTATAGATTTTCTAGTCCGTTTATTAAATAGTTTTGGTTTTGAAGAGGTGCCATGACAGTGGTTCAAGATCCATCGCCTTGCCAGTTTTAGTGGACGATCATGCGTCTCCACAGTCTGTGATCTTCAAAAGCATGCATCACTTCAGGTGTTGACACTTCTCAGTGCCAGGATGAAAAGCTGTCAACAATCATCTCACATTGTCTTCCTCTGTCTTATTTCCATAGATCTTTCCAGTGGTCACAACATCTTGGTTTCCTCCTTCTCATAACACAACCCCCCCCCCCCCCCCGCCCCCCCCAAACAAAAAAAGAGTGTTCTTGTATGTTGACTCTAATATGTGTACCGGATAATTGTTTTCCTTGAGCGAGACAACTGGTCACTTCAGCCCATTGGCCAGGACCTAGAATATATGTAGGCCTAGCATTCACGCCCAAATGGCAATATCTAGGACTACCTTTACTTACAGATTGTATGCAATGATGATAGTTTGTATATGTTTTGTCTGTCACTTTTCAGCATACTTCTCCTTTTCCTCTTTCTACTTCTCCTTCTCCTTTTTCTACTTCTCCTTCTTCTTATTCTTCCTCTTCTTCTGCTGCTTCTGGAGCGGAATTCAGCAAGGATCTTCTTCTTCACGTTCACCACCGGTTGTAAACTCCGGCGGAAAGCTCTGGGCGTTCGTCCACCTCTTGACTTTAGTCTTGCTCCAGAACCTGAGTGTTCTGTTTCACAAATCTGGTTTACTTGTATGCAGACTTCATCATCAGCTCTCGTTATACCTAGTAGCACATGAGGCTTCTGAGAGGACTTTCCATGCTTTCCTGTCCTGTGCAATCTTCATTGCAGTTTTCCATGTCAAAGAAGCCGCACTCAGGTCACTTTCCATCGTTCGTCTCCATGTTGTTTTTGGGCGCCCCTGTTTTCTCTTTCCCTCTGGTATCCATGTGAGAGCTGTTTTGGCAGGTATATCAGAAGTCATTCTCATAACGTGGCCAAGCCATTTCCATCTTCTCTTGGTAATCATACTGTCTAAAGTTTCTTGGTTTGTGGCTTGAAGTAGTTTAGTGTTTGAGATTGTATCTGGCCAGAAAATTTTGATAATTCTACGTAGACATGTGTGGTGGAAGGTGGACAGCTTGTGTGCATCCTTTTTGGTCATTCTCCAGCATTCCGCTCCATAAAGAAGAACTGGCAAAATGATGCTCTTGTAGAGTCGGAGTTTCGTTCCTCTGCAGTAATTGTTGGATTTCAAGATTTGCCTCATCCTTCCAAAAGCAGCTCTAGCTTTGTTCAGACGTGACTGTATGTCTTCCTCTGTCCCTCCCAGTAGGGACACCACACTGCCAAGATATGTGAAATGTTCTACATTTTCAAGTGATTGGTTACTTATGGTCACTGGTTGTTGGTTTGGACTGTTTGTCATGATCTTAGTTTTCTTTGTATTTATTCTCAGTCCAACCATTTCTGCTGTGCAGTTTAGTCTGTTACTTTTCTCTTGTATATGTTCATGTTTATGTGATAGGAGTGCTTTATCATCTGCAAAATCAAGGTCCTCAAGCATGGTGAATGGAGTCCATTATATGCCTCTTAATGTCCTGTCTACTGTGTTCTTTAGTATCCAATCAATCACAAGGTTGAAGAGGAGAGATGACATAACACATCCCTGTCTTACACCCGTCTTTACTGGGAAAGATGTATTGTCATTTTTTATACTGCAGGAAAAGTCTTTATAGAAGAGAGCAATTATGTTGACTATTTTTTCTGGAATTCCATAATGTCGTAAAATTTTCCACAGACCATCTCTATGGACACTGTCAAAAGCTTTCTCAAAGTCCACAAAATTAATATATATACTTCTCTGCCATTCGTTGCATTGTTCTAAAATGTTAGGTATGGCGAATATGTGCTCAGTTGTTCCTCTGCCCTTTCTGAATCCTGCTTTGTCCACTCGTAGGCATTTATCTACTCCTTTTTCAAGCCGCATTATGATGATTTTACAAAATATTTTGCTTGGTACTGAGAGTAGAGTAATTCCCCTCCAATTATTGCAGTCTGTTAAGTCTCCTTTTTTTGGGGATTTTGACTATTGTTCCTTCAGTCTAGTCGTCAGTCAACACTTTTTTTCCCAAATATCCTTGAACAATGGTTCTAGAATGCTAGCAGTTGTGTTGCGATCTACTTTGAGAAGTTCTGCTGGCAGTTCGTCTTTGCCTGGTGCTTTGTTGTTCTTTAATGTGTGGATAGCTTTAAGGATTTCTTGTTTGCTTGGTGGTTCAGTAATAATGTCAATGTCCTGAGAGGCTGGTTGAATATCTGGGGGATTTTCAGGATCAGGTCTGTTCAAGAGGTCGGAGAAGTGTTTAGTCCACTGCATGTCTTGTTTTTGTTCTGTGGTGAGCAGTCTGCCTTGGTTATCTCTGATGGGTATGCTGTGATAATTGTTTCTGTTTCCGCAAATTTGCTGGGTAATTTTGTGTAGGGTTTGTAGATCATGTGCTTTAGCAGCATTTTCTGCTGTATCTGCAAGATTTTCCATAAATCTTCTCTTGTCAGCTCTGGCACTTTTCTTGGTCATTTTATTTAGTTCGCTATATTCTAACATTAGTTTATCTTTTTGACGTTCTGATTTAGTGTGATTTATGAGGCTCTTTATTCTTTTTCGCTTGGCAATATAGTCCATGGTTTGACTACTTATCCATTCTTTGTGGTGTTGTTTCCTGGTTCCTAATATATTATTGCCAGTTGATTTGTATGTTTCTTTGATCTGGTTCCATCTTTCTTGAATGCTGATTGTAGTTGGAGTTTCTGGGTCACTTGATAGGGTTTGAAATCTATTCTTGAGTTCTACTATGAATTTAGTGGCAATGTCTTTTTCTCTTAAAAGGTTAACATTGTAACGTGCTGTCTGTGTCTTAACTTGCGTGTAAACTTTTTTGAGTTTAAGTCGTAGTAGAGCGACTACAAGGTGATGATCGCTTCCCACATCTGCTCCCCTTTTGACATGCACATCGAGTACCTTATCTCTCAGGCAGATGTGCTCCAAATTCGAAGGATTTCCCTAATAAGTCGACTCCTACGACATGCTGATTAGGGAGACAGTGTATCTATTCTTGTTTTCCCCACAGTGGGGCCGGGAACGCACATGGGGATTTAGCAAGGATGACATTGTCGTCCTGTTTATTGTTTCATTTTTTGGATATATTATTTGTTTTCTAGCTGCTAGAAGTTTTCCACATACGTCTTTCTCTGGTTTGGTCTCTCTTGCTAAGTATTCTCTGTTCTTCCACATTGTTTTCTACTCTTCCTCCTGTCGGTTCCAGGGCCCTACTGTGGGAGAAAAAAAAAAAAATAGACCCACTGCCTCCCCCTACATGTATGTCGTAGGAGTTGACTAATTGGGGGCTTCATTCGATGTCTGAGTGCATCTGCCTGAGCGGCAAGGAACAACTAACTGCACACACACACAAAAAGCCAGTAAAACAGATGTACATGCAAAACTCAGGCTCTGACACAAATCCAAAATCAAAATGGATGAATAGCTAGAATTTTCCGCCAGAGCTTATAGCCAGTGAACAAAGAAGAAGTTTTTGTCACCCCCCCCCCCCCCCCCCCCCTCCTGTTATTTTTCTCATTCTAAACAATATCTATGTCACATCCGTCTTTACCATACACATATACTAACATTCAGCAGCTATTATAATCTGTATTCTTGGTTTGTGATGTGCGTGGAAATACTGTATCCCTTACTTACTTTTCCATTAGGGTCACAAGTTCATAGTTCGCCTGCTTGAGGGAAGGACAATCAGCCCAGAGGAACATTCTCCGATTCATAACAATAATAAAACGACTAGTCCAGGACACACGATGGAGAGCTCGGAAAGCTTCGTGGAAGATGACAGAGGTATTTTCTTCATTTATTGCCTACATAATTTTGTTTCTGATTCTTCTTCTTTGAAAACAGCTAACATTATAAGTAACACCAACTTCTTAACATTATCAGGTGATAATTTTTAATTACTTTTTAAGACAATCTGTTTTATTTACACCAACATCATGATCAGGCTTCTAAAATAGAAAACATGTCATTAAATTACCTCCATTATATTTGGTTCTTCTTGTTTCAGTTCCACCATTGAAGTTTGGTAGTCTGCTGGAGAAACATTTGAGTGAGGATGAGTCCAGTTATGTGACATCAAGTCTTCCTCAAGATCCTGTTCCACTCAATGGTAGGTTGGACATACATGACATCAAGTCTTCCTCAAGATCTTGTTCCACTCAATGGTAGGTTGGACATACATGACATCAAGTCTTCCTCAAGATCCTGTTCCACTCAATGGTAGGTTGGACATACATGACATCAAGTCTTCCTCAAGACCCTGTTCCATCAATGGTAGGTTGGACATACATGACATCAAGTCTTCCTCAAGATCCTGTTCCATCAATGGTAGGTTGGACATACATGACATCAAGTCTTCCTCAAGACCCTGTTCCACTCAATGGTAGGTTGGACATTCATGACATCAAGTCTTCCTCAAGATCCTGTTCCACTCAATGGTAGGTTGGACATACAGGTCCGAGAGCCCATAGTAAATGCTGTCATGAATTGACATTCTTCTTTATGAACCTCTAGAGGCCAGCCTCAATATGTTTAGAGAAAGCATCTGTCAACTTGAGCATTTTCATCTTTCCATACTTTGTCCTCCATTAGAGCAGATGCTGCTCAGCTAATTAGTTGAGTGCATGGTGTGACACTGTGAGCTGTGACTTTTGTGGGGAAATACTTACTGTGGTGCCAGAAATGTGTGTTGTTAACTGCATGTTAAAAAAAAACGGCAAGTGGCTAGTTGCCACAAAATTAGTGGTGTGCAAGTGTATTGAAATGTCAGAAACTTCTTTTTCTTCTCCTTCTCCTTCTTCTCCCTCATCGTCTCTTCCTCTTACTTCTTCTTCTGTCATTTATCTCTAATTTGAGGGTAGACCCTCAGCCAACTCAAGCCCTTCCATTTTGTGTCACTGGCAGCTCCCTCACTGTCATACTCATATTGTTTTCTCTCTCCCCCCCCCCCTCTTTTCTCTCTCTGTGTGTAATTCTGTTCTCCTTACCACTTGTGCTATCCTTCCAAATTCACACATATTGAACATTGTATGCCCACTTCTGGAGATGTTCCTATATGAAAGGAGGTTAATCAGCGAGTCAGACTTCTTGTAGCTTTCTCTACAGTGTGTCATATCTTTCTAGAGAAAAACCTGCTTTTATCTTGGTTGGTTAAGGTTTTCATTTTTTTCTTCATCAAATAAATTCCACCTCAAGAAATGAGATTGCATTAGTGAAGATTGGATCATTGTTTGCTTGATTTGTTTTTCTCCAGGCTCATTTGCATGATTTACTTGTTATCTTTCCCCGATGAATGTTTAGAGCTATTTTTGCTCTTTGCTGACAGAGACTACAGCTTATAAGAGCATGGTATCTGGCAGTGGAGGCAGACAGGCACCCCGGCAGATGTCTGGACAGGATGATACTGATGACGATGTGGAGAAACAGATAGCCTCCGCTCTTGTGAGGAATCCGGCGTAAGTTACACGGGCAGTAGAAACAGGGAATGATGTAGTATCACCTGTGATAGATGAGAGGGAGTAATGTAGTTATATACAACATTAAACCAGGGAGCTGGTACACATACTATAATTTTAGCCATACAAGTGGCGCAAATAAACCAGACCACAAATATAACCAGAGACTGTTGGCGGCTCGCTGCCAGTAGCAGGTTGAACGTGGTCGAGGTTTATTATTATTATGTTTTTTCTTTTTGGTAGAACGGAATCAAAAGTTATATACACAGTAGATGATAATCTTAACTATCCACAGTATTCTGTAAATAATCGTTTATTCTGTTAGATCTGATTGATATATGGTTGCTAAGATTTTACTCTATGTTCTAATTATTTATGTCATTTAGCTTAAAAATTAATATCTTGGCTTAGAATTGACAAAGAGGCTTGAATGAGGTACTGCTGGATTTCTTTTTTCATGTGGAATGCAACTGTGATAGTTACATTATTCTAAAAAGTTCAGTAAATTTAATGAAGTACCTAATGATATTATTGTCAGTCGATGTGACTGAAGGCTTCCTGCTGATAGGGCACATTTCCATGGTGAAGTGGTCAAGCTGTTAGCCTCATGCTCTCTGGGTTCGTTCCACAGTGGCGTTGTTCAGTTTACGCTGCATTTTTTTAACAGAGATTCCTGGGGACCGTCGCTGGAGCAACGAAGTTCATGCTTTTGTGCGATGCTTTCAACAGGCCGCTAGCTGTTCTGTGGAGAGAGATTGAGCCGTATGGGGTAAAAGCCAGTGCAGTGAAGTTGACCCTCTTGACTTTTCACTCTTTTAAGGTCACATCAGTTCATAGTATGAGATAACAGAATGAGGCAGTCACTTTTTTATAAGCAGAATACGAAAAGGTAGGGAAGGGAGTATATATATCTTGATTTCTTACATACAAATTGTTTTCTAAATTTGTTAGTGTGGAGAAGGCTGCAAAGAAACCAAATGTGGTTGATGATCCTTCAGACGCCAGCTCACAGACTCTACAAACCTCACCTCATGTGTATGTGCCCACAGCCATGGAATCCAGGTGAGTTTGGTTGCTCTAGTTAATTCTTCTTCTTCAGTGATCAACAGTTGCAATGTGCCTGTTCCATTATGGATCTTAAACAGGACAGTGTTCTTGAGGTCTTGTCTTGTACCTCATAGTTTGGTTCACACAGTTATTTCTGTGGACCACATTTCTTCTGATTGCTAAATCTGGACAATCCTGTAAGACATGCTCAGGCAGTTTGCTTTGGTGCACTACAGTCACATGCGGAAGAGTTAGCAAGAACCATTGGATGTAGATTTGCTCTGAATTTATAGTGTCCTGTTGTGTGCCTGAAAATTCGGGTCTAGTCATTTATGCCAAGCCTGTTTATACTGGTCTAGTTAATGATTCTGGTTACGCTGGTTGTGCAGACAGTGGATTGAGTCATTGCAAAACTCTCCTGTGTGTGCAGTTACCTTCATATTTGTCCCAGGGTAAGCAGGTGATGTTGGTAAAGAAAGAGCTGATAGACTGGCAGATGCCACATAAATTGAAGATGGCCCATGGATCACGCAGACATTGTCCCTTAGAGATATAGGATGTTCTGAGGATTTTGGAAGCAACGTGTCTACATCACTGCTTAGAATACAAGAATTGGGAGTAAAGATCGGCACAGCCAAGCATGAGAAGCACACCGGACACACACAAAGTCTTGTCAACCAACATAGGACTGGCACTATTAACCGCGCGATGAATATGTTAAGAGGGGAATCTGAGCACCTATGGATGTATCTGGAGTGCTGTGAAGACAGTCCAACATAAAGAAATCATCCAGTAGGGATTGAAACCTAAGATCTTTGGGCCAGTAGGGAAGTGTCAAGCCACATTGTCACCTCTACTCCAGATGTCAGAATATAGCTAACATTTTCTCATCCAATGTTAAGCATATTCTTTAAAAAGAAATATATTTTCATGATGTCACAGTAAGTGTTGACAGTTTTCATCTGACTTCTTTTTCTGTCTTTTATCCTCACCTTTGAGCATTGGCTCTCAACCATGCTGAGATTTCTTATATCTAGAGAGAAACACCACACATAACACAACTCTCTCTCTAAAGCTCTTTCACTCTCACTTTCTGTCTCTTGCATGCTCTTTTTCTCCCACACTCTCACTCTCTCAATCTCCCCCCCCCCCCCCCCCCCCCCCAATCCTTATCCTCTCTTCCTGGATACATTTTAAATAGCCATCTTGGTTTCATGTCTACATTCTGTTTATAATATCCTGATACTTTTGCAACAACCACCCATATCTCACATTGTCTGCATTTCAGGCAGAACATAAACCTGTCACGAACTGCGCCCTCCAGATTTCAAGGTGAGTCAAGCCGATATTGTGTTGTCCAGTCATTCTTGTATAATAGTTTTTATTTTGGCTTCTTATTACATATCCTGTGCGGCTGTGGCTTAGACTTAGTGAATGCATTCAACAGTTTCATGAGCCTCCAGTACTAGGGTTTGTTTTCTGCAGGGGATGGTAAAAAACCAAAGTTCTGGCAATTTTCAGACAGTAGTACGAGAGTCACACTGTAGAAGAGACTTAACTCTTTGAGTTCCAGGGAACGCATCACGCGCTAATTTGTTACAACCGCCCGGCCCAATCGACCCTTGACAAGTGAAGGTTTTTAATGTACCGCTGACATGTCATAAAACGCGGACCACTAACTTTCAACTTCCTTTCGAGTTCTTTGTGTCTGATATCAGGCGTGCTCATTTAAAAACGTCATCTGAAGCCGAGAATATAGTATGTTTGCAAGATTTACCGATTTACTAAGCTTTTTTTTTTTTGGAAAAGAATATGGCCGCCAAGCAGTATTCTACATGCATGCTAACATGATTTACGGCTTTAGAAGCCTCAAATTTAAATAAAGTAAGTGTTTTATTCGATTTATCCGAAGTTAGATAGATAACGTTGTGAATTAGACGTGTTTCAGTCATTTATAGAGTCAAACTTTGATGAGGGATATGTCTAATGTGTACATCACGTGAAGGGTACAACGATAGCAAAGTCAGTTGGCACAAATAGAATAAACAGTGAAAAGACGATTGATTTTCTTCAGTGTCGGGTAGTTCTAGTGCATTCCCCTTATTATTTGGGAACAAAGCTACAAAATTACAGGCAAATTTAGTGTTATATAAACTTCGTTTTGTGTGAAGATACTTATTGTTTTGGGAGTCACTTTTCTTTACCAAATAATGGTGCTATGTTATGATGCTTTAAAAGATTCTTTGGAACAAAATCTAACGTATAGTTTGAGTTTATATTGTACTTATACATTACAAAGTGGTTCATATTCATTTGTGATTCATTTTGGATATATTTTAACCAGTTTTCCTAGAGTGCCATGGTGGTAAGTTTAATTTTTTAATATTTAATTTTACTAATTTTTGTAAACACACCATCTGTTTATGTACTAATATTTAATTACTAACGCAATTATTTGTTGAAACTGTATTCTATGATTATTCCTCAACAATCCCTGGTCACTTCGATGTACAATATGTGTATGTTGCGCGGCAATTGAATTAGTATGGTCTGTTTTAATGTGTTACACTTGTGAAATTAAAAAATTAAATTACCACCCCTTGGGCCTCGGATGTTAAACCCTCTGGGACTCAAAGAGTTAAGCATCACCACATATTCCCAAACAACAGTAGGTACACTGTAGCCAAACTTCACTGGGGAAATGGCACAAAATCATTTTCTTATCCCAACCATCCTCTGACTGTAATCTATCCCAACCATCCTCTGACTGTAATCTATCCTAACCATCCTCTGACTGTAATCTATCCCAACCATCCTCTGACTGTAATCTTTGTTTCCATCTAAGTTAATTTGTATTCGACATATTACTAACATTTTTGTTGTCTTCTGTATCGCATGGATTATACAGCTGGTATGTGTTTCTTTTCCCCATCAGGTGTGAAAATCAGTTCTGATTTAGACACGGATACAGAAGTGGATGCTGGGATCTTTGGAAGCAGCAGACGGCCTGAAGACAACTCTGATTTTGATTTTTATGATTGAATTTAGAGAGACCAGTTTAGAAATGCTTGTATGGTAGGTTGCATTTGAACAAATGAAATTATTGTTATCATATGTAGAAATCCCATATGGGTCCCAGGCCCCATTTTGCGGAGAAAAAAAATATTTATTCTCTGTATTTGAATTGTTCATATGCCGTAATCAAAACAAAACAGATAAGACTGTCATGTGATATTATGTAGTAAGTATGGCTGTCATGTGATATTATGTAGTAAGTATGTTGATTCTATTTATAAGAATGTGTACTCTGACGATGCTTTCCTTAGTCAGTCTGTGTAATTTATTTATTGATTCTTTCCTGCTGTTCTGCATTTATTGTTTTGTAGCTGCTGATTTTACATTAATATGATTTAAATAATCCATTCCTATTACACACAAATTGTTGTTTGTGTTTTCTTATTTTTCTCCTACATCTCCCACTGGAGCATAGGCACACCAGCTAACTCACACACAGCATTTTATAGCCTTATTTATTCATGATTGGTTACATTTTGCAGCTCATTTTGTATACAAGATGAGGCAGCCAGCCCTTTTCCAACCCTCCTTAGAGTCCTTGTATGTCATGTTTGGAAGGTTACTTACTATTTTTGGCTTTCCTTATGAGTTTCAGTAATACACAGGAGGTTGTAATGTATGGCTTAGAGTGAAGGAAAAAAAAAGAAACAAAAGAAAACGAGTAGTGAAATATACATTTAGCAGAATGAAAAATGTGGGTATCTTTAGAGAGAAAAAAAAAAAAATAACTTCAAAAGTGAGAACAGGCAGGTAAAATAAACTCATTACATGGTGCATGGCACGCATGGGATGGACGATGCAGGCACAGGTGGATCGATAATAAGCAAGCAGCTAGAATACTGAATAGAGGCTCCAGAGATGTGAGAAGTAAGTCATCTTGTAGCATATCTTTTGCAGAACGTCGCGTCCATCACTGAAAGGAACTCAGTTTCTCCCTGGATCTCCTGCTTCGTGTACTTTCATATACAAGGATTCACTTTTATCCTGTACCTATCTTCCTATTAGTCAGCCCCTGCCCCTTCTTCCTGGAACAATGCCTGCTGCTATTATTGTGTATAAAGTAAGGAATGAAATAATTTTGTACTTTATTAAGAAACTGTTAAGACAGGCTGGAGTGTTGTGCATTAAAGACAAGCTATTGGTTTAAATTTCCCGTACGTACTTGGCACTGTTGTCCTCCATGGCTTAGACAATGTGAACTGGCTTCATAATTGTGAAATACAGGTTCTCTTCCAGCCGTGGGCGATTTGGCAGCAGACTGGCCTGCGTTGATTTCAACAGTGACGTGGAGCACCTACAGTACAGAGGCAATGGCAAACTACTGAATATAAAATTGCCTCATAACATCACATCCAAAACAATGTTAGGGTTGGTTCTGCAACATCCTGTAAGGGATACATAGCTAACTGTAACTGAGCACTGTGTGAAAATCACAACAAAATTTATAGTTTTGAATGAATTCTGGTACATGTACACAAATACATGTACACAAATACATGTACACAAATACATGTACACCATCTGACATCAATGTGAACATTTTGAGCGAAAGCAGCAGTTAACTGGAGGTTGTTGACATCTCTTGAATTTGCTCCCAGATGCCCCTGTATGGGTTCCACAATCCTATTGGGGAGGGGAGGGGGTTGAGAACAGACCCACTGTTCCTTAAGAATAAATAAACAGAGGGGGAACCTGTGGGGGTGCCTAGTTGACCATGTTCTTAGTGCACTTGTATCATGGTGAGGCGCAGACGCCGTCTGGAGGTGACAGGTTCAATTTCCGGCACGGTAACTATAGCTTTCGATTTTTATGTTGTCTAGTGTGTTCTTCTATCTTTCTACTTCTTTCTATGATTGCCGATCAAAACACTTTCTGTTACTTGATTAATTCATAATGTTCCTTAAGAAGCATCTCATAAAAAGATTTTTTTTTTAAAGCAA